GACAAGTACTAATAGAAAACACAAGCATGCTTACAGAGGTATGTCGGACCTCTCTGTGTTTGAGAGCAGCTGTTGAAAAGCATAGCTAATGACTGGGAGGGTTGTGTTATCATCAAAGCGCATATATTGGAAATAAAAGCAGTTTTGAGGCCACACCTAGCAACAGGTTGGGGTCAAGCATAACTATTATGTTTAATCTGAGTTAGTTCCTTAGATTTCAGATGTAACATACAAATACTCAAGGCAGGAGTGGCCTGGCACTAACTCTTCCTTTCAGCAAAGGAGAGTTCCAAAGCTTCAGCTGCCACATACACACTGTTCTGCAAAGGACCAGCTCCAATTCTACACATGGCCTTCATTCTGTACACAAACCAGAGTGGCTTGTGAGGACTTCTTGCTCCAGCCAGAATTGGGAAATACTGAATTCATTTGCACAACCCAAGTTTTTTGTTTTTCTTCTGTAAGTGATACTTGTCAAGTGACTGACATTTCTCTGTGGACAACCAGGGGGGAGTCATTTTAATTCCTTAATCCTGAAGAGGACAAGTCAATTTACAGTCAGAACAAAACAATGATTAGTTAGATCTGCAATAATAGTTCACTACCTCCCCAACCTTGAATCTGTTTACTGCAATCACAGTGATTTCCATATGTCCTAAGAAGATGGGGTTGGGAAGGGGGGAAGGGAAGAGAGAAGAGGGGAGAGAGCAAAGCAGAAGGGGGAGGGAGTAATAGAATGAAGAAAAACTCTTGGCTTTTAGCAGCTTTTATTAGCATCTCTGTGTCAATAATGAAACCCTTGCAGTCTTGGCATTTGATGATTTACAGCCAAAAAAAGAAAAAACATGGAACCCCTGTAGCTTTAAAATATATGCATGTTTCAATTACCATGGGCCCTGGGTCTGCTGCCAGATGCAGTGATCATGTTAGAGATATAATGTTTTCCATGAGGAGAACCAGGGCTGGGAAGTGATGCTCAGAAATGCATGAGAACCACACTGAAGTCAAGCCCCACTGTGACAAGTGGGTCCCATTGCTCTTCCAACAAAACAGATTGCTAACGTCACCCTGGGAAGACAGGTGAGTGGGTGACTGTGCACTTGGCACATAGTCCATTCTCAGCCAATGATTTCAAACTTTGAAGGGAGCTCAGCAAACCTGTGGCTATCAGGAAGACAACAGCATGTTTTTTTGGGGGGCCACTTGAATGGCAACACCCATGTTTTATAAGCCATAGCACCAATTATCCTCCTCAGAGGCTCCAGTAGTTTTGCTTAACTGTGAATGCTTTACAGTTCTTTTAAAACAGATTGGCCACATCAGAATGCAAAGGGATCCTCCATCTTGCAAGGTGCTGTGCTTCTTTCTGTCTAGGGTTGAATGGATGCCTTAGTACCCAACCTTGTAAAAACAAAGCGACCAATAGTCACAGGGAGCGACTGTAAACATTATCCTTGACTAATAATTCGTTACTAAGTTCAGTGTAAATGTGGCTGGCTCCTGTGGGTGTAGGATACAGTAAGGAACACCCAGTGAGGAGCTGGCAGGATGGAAAGTGGGTGGCTGCACTGGAGAGATGGGAGATCAGTAGCGGGCATGATGAGCAGGAGAAGGTGAGACCAGTTTCTGTTCTCACCTCCAGTCGGAGACAGAAGAGAGCTCCCTTTAGACAGTAAGGACAGAGTCCTGGTGAATCATGAGCTGTCCCACTCCTGTCGGTGGACCAGCTCTTCTGTTGGACCAAGAGGGCATGTTTTAAGGTATGTGCATTCCTTACTACCCTCCATACACTCGAAAATGGCCAATTGTGACAAAGATTACCTGAGTTTCCATCCAATTCCTATGGTAAGACCCACAAAAGAGCAGTAAGCGGGGCCCCTCCCAATCTCTGAAGCGCTTTCTCATTTGTGAAAATAAATCTACATTTGCATGGCTCACACCTTGTCCTCATCCCCTCTTTGTCTTGGGTGTAAAATGAAGATTTCAGAAGCCACTGGTCAGTCATCCAGCATCATAGCTCCACAAATTAAGTTCACCAAGAGTTGAGCAAAGGTCTGTCTCTCTTGGAGACCCCCACATCACTCCTTGAGCAGGCAGCCAGGGAAGGAAACCTTAGCCACTTCCATTCCTAGAAATAGTGTGGAGTGTACTTCTTCTTTCCAGTGGTAGTGTTGTGCTCAGACTCTGAACCCCAATCACCAAGAGGCCCGATCTGATGCAAAAGTGAAGAGTCCTTAATTTTAAGAGTTAACTCAGTTCCCCCACCCCTCCCTCCAACACAGAGGTTGAAGCAGGGGGATCAGGAGGGACCTTGAGAAGCAGTGGGGGCAGGGAATATATTGGAGTAGAGTAAGGGGAGTGTCTGGGGTTTGCAACAGTCTCAGGATTGGTGCACTTCCCAACTTGGGCAACCTATCCTGAGTTGATTGATCCTCTGCAGCGGCAGCAAGGTTCCAATGCTTAGAGGCCCTCCCAGGGTGGCTGCTATGCTCTGCATTCCGGAGTCCACCAGCTAACTTCTGATTGGTTCCTTGCCACATGGAGAGTATCTGGTAGTTTATTCCCAGTAATTAGGGAAGGTTGGTAGTTCAGCACATGTTGCTGAGTCAGAGACCTTTATCTTGCTGGGTCTTTTCTGCAACTTGTCATGGCTGCCAAAGCAGATGGCTGGGTGAAGGTCTGGTCCCTTCATTAGTAAGTGATATTTTGGTCCTTAAACTCTAGCCAGAAAGATATTTATGTAGTCGGACTTTTCAGCCTGCCAGTTCCCAAATAACAAACAACACAGAGTCTTAATATTAATTATAAATGCTCAGCCACTAGCTCAGGCTGACTACTAACTAACTCTTACATTTAAATTAATCCATATTTCTTATCCATGCCTTGCCACATGGCTTGGTACCTTTTCTCAATACAGCATGCCCATCTTGCTTCTCTCTGCACCTGCTTGGGATTCTTCTGACTCTGCCCTTTTTCTTCCCAGCATTCTCTGTTTGGCTCTCCTCCTAAGCTTATCCTGTCCAATAATTGGCCAGTCAACTTATTTATTAAACCAATCACAGCAACATAGATTCACTTAGTGTAAAGGAATATTCCACACCTTTAGAAGATTTAAACATAAACCTACATGGAAAAAATAAGAGCAAGCTTGGATTCTGCCATGCTGTTTATGGTACTACCAATGCTCTCTCTCTCTACCAAAGGCCCCCACACATCAGTAATATAGATTGATGTTAGTCATTTGTCTTGTTTTCATATACCTGCTCAAGGTCACATGGCTGGGTGCATGGTGTTTGAACATCACTTTTGAACTGACACATACGCCTTTTTTGAATAAGCCTCCTTTATGGCCAGGCCTAGATATGTGACTGCAATTCATCTAAAGGGTTATGAAGGGAAATGACATGGGTGACTTCCTGGCTCCCATGCTCTCTTTCCCAACCGCCACCCCAAGTATTGAATTGAGCCCATGGCTTTGACTGGCCCCTTTAAGGTTTTGTTGTGTGACAGATCTTGCTAAGTTGCCCAGGCTCTCCTTGATTTTATAGTCTTTCATCTCAACTTCCCAAGTGCTAGGATTATAGGTTCACACCACCACACTTAGCTGGAGTTGCTTTTAAAGAAAAGGAAGCCCTCTCACCAACTTTGCTCCTCTCCCACCATGCTGCTGCCTGGAATGTTGATGAAGTAAGGCTCAGCAGGGCCCTCACAATTGAAAGGATCATCTTAGGAAATTTACAATAACAAGGTTGATCTGGTTTCTACAATGTGAGATAGCTTTCCTACCTAGCCTTAGGCCACCTCTCAGACTGTGAAGAAAACCTTCTTCTATTTTGTTTCTGGAGTTTCTTTTCTATGGCATCCATACACTAGCTTCTTTCTTTGTGTCACTTTTTCATGTTGGTGTGACAAAATACCTGACAGAAGCAACTTACAGGAAGGACTTATCTTGGATCAACAGTTTCAGAGGGGTTTTGGTTCCTACAGCAAGGTAGGTACCACCATGGCAGGAGCCTGGTGGAGCTTTATTCCACATCCTGGTGGGTCAGGAAGCTGAGGCTGCAGGCCAGACTCAAGGGTTAGTGAAGGCCCACTCCCAAGGATCCCCTTCCACCAACATCACTCCACCTCCCAAAGATTCTGCAACCTTCCAGAACAGCAACAACTGGGACCAAGTGTTCAACACGTGAACCTTCAAACCTAATAGTAGATGAACTAGAACTGAGACCCACTTCCATCCAGTTCCAAACCCTTGCTCCTTCCTACCACAGAGTCACATGATCAAATGCTCTCATCAGAAGAACAGTGGGAAATGTTTGCAGTCTCATCTTCAAGACCCAAGACCAGTCCTTGACACTTGATCACTTCCCCAACCAAAGGACCCTTTCAGTAGGAAGCTCTTGTAAATGAAATTTGTGTGGCAATCCTGCATATCCAACAACGTATATGATGCCCAATGAGTATTCATATCCATGGTTTCCATGGAAAAAAAAAAGGACATGAGGGCCCTGCCTCTTATTTTTCTGATATGGTTGCGTGCAAGCAGAGTGTACCTAGAGAAAGTGTAAAGTATGATGCAGTTGGGTTAATATTTGGTGAATACCTACTGCGATGGTTTGAATGTGAACCTCAAAGACTCATATATAAAAAATATCTTATCCGAATGTTAATGGCATTTAGATGCCACTGGTAGGCAGGCAGGATTAGACAAAGTCATGGGGGTAGCACCCATGATGGTATTAGTGGCTTTATTAAATAAGGAAGAGAAACCCAATCCTAGCACACTGTATCTCACCAATGAATGCCCTTTGCCACACGATGGCAGAGCAAGAAGACTCACCAAATGCTACTACCACACTCCTACACCTCCCAGCCTTCAGAACCATGAACCATGTTTAGTCCCTAAACAGAAAACTCAGATGCCCAGCTGTTGCACCCTTTCCTCCTTCACTGGACTGCTGTCCCTCCATCTTGGCACACTACTCTTTCAGCCATCTTACCTTCTGCCAAAACAGGAAAGACTCCATCATCCGATCTCCATCCTTCTCTGTGTCATTCCAGCCTCCTATTCCTCTACTTTCTTCTAACCCAGCAGTGCCAAGGAAGGTTTTCTGATTCCTAGGAGGTACATAGGACAGTACAATCAATTGTCATCCCCTCTGGAGGTATGCAGTAAAGTCTAGTCTCTGTCACTTAACCAGTAGTAGTTAGTAGCTGCATAGCTATGGTCAAGTCTGCAAACCTTAAAGTCACACAGGAGTGACTGGAGCCTACTAAAACAGCTCTAAGCACCTAGTCTGCAGACCCAAAAGCCAGGATGGCTGTCCCTTCAAGGGGATGCCACAACATCAGCTGTATGTGCAGCTGCCTGGTGCAGGCAGGGTAGTAGACACTGTAAATATTGGTTGCATAAGGGAAAGAAGAAGGTACGTAGTAGACTTGTCTTCTTTGACCTCCCACCAACTGTGCTCAGAGCTTTAGATAAGTAGACTCTTTCGGACTTCACACCACAAAACACACATCACTCAATCCCCTTAACCTCTGTGGTTCTTCATGCCTCCAAACAATCTGAATTTCTATCACATAGGGTGTGTCACACACTCTGCCCCACTCTATACCATTAGCCCTTTATTTCTAGGAATTCTTGGGATTCTGTTGTAGAATATTATTTAAAGGTGTGTCACATTTGTTTATACTCGGAAACATTTGTTTAATGACGTAAAGATGTGTTGCTTTTGTTTATGCTGTACTTGTTTATCTCTGTGAAGTGGTAATTCTTCGCCTGTCTGAAACACCCGTCTAATGAAGAGCTGAACTGCAGGAGAAAGGACAGGCAGGGCTGGCAGGCAGAGAAAATAAACAGGAGAGATCTGGGAAGGAAGATAGAACAAGGAGAGGAGGATGTCAGGACCAGCCACCACGCGATCAGTCAGTCACAGAGTAAGAATGAAAGTAAGACATACATAAGCAAGAGAGGGAAAGGGCCAGAGGCAAAAGGTAGCTGGGAAGATTTAAGTTTAGAAAAGCCGGTAAGAAACAAGTCAAACTAAAGCCAGGCAATTATAAGAAAGAATAAGCTTTTCTGTATGTAGTTTATTTGAGAGCTGGGTAGTAGGCTCCCCAAAAGAGTAAAAGGAAACACAACAACATCCTATATTCTACACGCCTAGTCTATTTGATGTGTGTCCCTTTGCTGTTCCTACAGGGCGATGTTCCTACCGGTCTACCTTGGTATACATCACACGAAGAGGAAAACACTGGTAGGAAGTATGAAGGCTGGCCTGACTTTGATACCTGCCTCTACCATGGACTAGTAATCAATAGAGTTATAATCCTTTGCCTCTGTCTTCTCGTCCATAAGATGGGGACACACCACAGGACCATTTGAAGAGCCTGTAAGTGGATATATGTAGATCATGGGGTGAGTGCACCATAAATGCTAGCTATCATCATCATTGGTATCTAGGCAAAGCAAATAGTCCAACAAAAGCAGTCTTCAATAAAACCCCTGCAAAGCCAGATCAGGGAAGCCATAAAATAGGCATAGAGTGTTTTCTGTCCTCCACGTGTTAGTTTTCAAAGTTGGAAGCTTAAGATACGAAGCAGGAGAATCCTAAGTTCAAGTCTAGCCTGGAACACATAGTGAGGCCCTGAGTCAAAACAAATAGGGAGAAATTGGTCATTTAACACCATTCCTCTGGATGTATCCATCTTTAAGTGTCACCCAACTAACTTCTAACAATGATCGGTTATAGGCCCACTTTATGTTAGGTATTTGAGGTTTTGTTCTCTAGTTAATTTAACCAATGACTGTTCTCCTGACCAGTGGCATTACCATTAAAAATATAGCAGACATTAATTATGAAAATGCTTGCTGACATTTATTTCAGTCTTCCCAAGTCCAGTTTGTATACTGTTTACTTTTTTACTAATAGCTTTCAAGGGACAGCACCTTTCTCTACAGGCAAGTTATTATGGTCAACAAACATGTCAACAGGCATATTCTCTGGGGCCAAAATAACTCCACAGCAGCCAATTTAAGGATGGATTCCCTTACCCCTCCATCTAACTGGGACCTCCAAGCAGTGCACCGTCAATGTAGCACTGAAAGCAAACCTCTCCCTGAGATGCAAACAAGACACTTAGACTAGGACTTACAACTGGTTGAAAATGTCTGTTTTATTGCGATGACATTGGAAACTGTGAATGCAAAGAACAAAGGGTTAGTCTGAAAATCCTTTGTTTAAAAATGTATCTTGTCCCATGTCATTTAATCCGGAGGAAAAAAATTAAACAACCACATATCCTCTACCAGCTAATCAAGCTTACTCCTTTCAGGCAGCAGATAAAAGATTGCTGTTGGTGATTCTTGTGCCTTAGGACCTTCCAGCCTCAGGACTGGGGACTCAGATTAGCTGGCAAAGCCTTTACTTATCTTGCAGGCAGCCCTTGCTTTGATCACTGGCATCATGTAAATTGTGTAAATTGTGGTCATATAATCCCAATGACTCAAATGGTGAAGACAAGAGAATCAGTAGTTCAAGGTCATCCTCTGCTACCTTTGAGGCTGGCTTATAACAGATGAGAACCTGCCTCAAAATAAATACATTTTAAAAGTTAATAAATAAAAATGAATGAATAAAAATAAGTCTTCCACTTCATTATCAGCAGTCAGAAAAACTTGAAGACGCGCGCCTGTCAATTGTGTGACATGCTTTGCAGCAGGATGCCATCCAGGTAAATTCCAAGATGGTGGCTTCCCATTGGAGACACGGAAACCACACCTGATTGACTCCCTGGCTAGGAGGGAAGAGCTGGTACCTTTTGACTTCAGGAACTCTCACTGTAACAAATGAAAAATGCACACTCCCAACTCTGCAGTGACCAAAGATTTCACATTTAGTCAGTTTCCCTTTGTTCTCAAAACCATATCGCCTCTCTGTACTTTTTTCTTATTTGACTCAAATCAGGAAGTGCTCTGGTTGCACCAAAACTCCCCCATCGATTGAGAAAATGAGAATGTGGTAGTGAGAAGAAATTGAAAGTAGGGAGTGGAAAGTTGGAGCTTTATGGTGGGGTCACCTCACCTGTCCCTTGGGGAGAAAAACCACAGTTTCAGTCGCTCGTTAGTAATTTTGTTTCTAGGAAGCTTTTTTCCACAAGTGTTTCCCTCCATAGCCCCAAATTCCAAAGTCTGTGGTTGCCGAATAGCCCTTCCACACCCCGCTTTGCATTTGTTACTTATAAAACAATAATTCCAAGGCAGTTTCTATAATGACTTTTTTTTTTTAAGTCAGAAAGCATGCTGGCTTGATCTTCTAAACAGCCTAGAGATGAAAGAAAGGGTAGTTTCCGTTCTCTTACTAAGATCGGGACTGGAGGAGTCAAAAGTTGTCGAGCTGTGGCTCCCTCTGACTACGCTGAGCTCTGTAGAGCGCCTCCACCTTCATGCAACTAGAACCCAGCTTCATTAGGAAGTATTAGTTCCCTTTTCAACCTCAAGCGTCAAGGCCATTTGTCATAATTGCTATAATTAGAGCAGGCTGACAACATACCAATCAAATGGGCTGCTGCTTCATGGGTGTGGTTGGAAGGGTATCCACGACTGAAATTCCCACCCATGAGGTACTTTCCTTGAGTTGAGATGTAGTTTTTCTTTAACTACATGAATACATATGTCAGAAAGCATCTCATACCACTGCTCATCTGGGGGCTTCTCTTCATGTATTTTAATTACTGAGGAAACAAAGATATGTGAAGCTTCTGGGTCCTCGTCAGGCTAACACTAACTATGGTGGCTGACACTAAGATAATCCCTGGGGTAGAAGAAGCAAACTGTCCATCTCTGTCCATCTCCTACCCACACACTATGGTAAATACACACAGTTCAGGTTCCACATCTGCATTCAAGGCCTTTGCTATCTGCTGATTCCCTCTGCAGCCCTTCCTACTGTGGGTGTATGTCCTTCTCTGAGAATGTACATAGTATTCATCTTCAAGACTGGACCTCCCTCTACCTGTCATTCACTGAAGGATCTATTTTTCTAGGCACCCAGTAAGGTACATTGGGTTCATCCAAGGACTCTTTGTGGGATGATAGCCATCCATGGACATATGGTGATATCTAGAAACAAAAAAGCATACTCTGGGTAACTTATAAACAATAGAAGATGACTGCTAGAGTTCTAGTTAGGCAGTCCAAGGTCATCAGATCCGGTGTTCGGTGGCAGTCCATTTCTAAGAGGAACCCCCTCCTGCATCCCCACACAGTGACAGAACAAAGGGAGCTTGCTTTACCTTCGGCACAGCAGCTGGCCTTAATCGACTGCTATTTCAGCCAGCAATTGCAACTCAGCTTCTCTAGGCAGCCCTGGGTAGGAGTTATGTTTCTGCAGGCAATCACCCTGCTGTTGCTGTCGCTAAAGATAGTTTTGACTAGATCTCTATTGTCCTGTTTATGAGTAAGACTAGAGAGCCAAAGGTTGGTGTGAAAACCTGCCAGCTCAGAGAGGTTGAGTAGCAACTGGCTAACCCTCTCCCCTTACTGGCTTCCACAGAAGCCCCGTGCCAAACCAGAAGGGCCAGCGCCACTCCAAACCCCACCCTCTAACTTCCTGTGTGTCTCTATCTTTCCCAGATGCCCTCTTAGTCTCTATGATTACTTTCTGTCAACAAGTTACTAGTGCAGCCTCCTGACCCAATGTTAATTTTATTTAATTAACACAAATGCAACCTCAGGGTTCACAGTGTGATCAAATATTCCCCTACAAGGGCTGTATTACTTGCTTATTGCTGTGACAAAACACTAAATAAAAGCACTTATGGAGTGAAGGATTGATTTTGGCTCATAGTGGCAGGAGCATGAGGCAGTAGGGAGAGATGAATGTGGTGTTCAGCTAAGTTTCTTCTTTTTATGAAGTCCATGGAATGGGTTTGCCCACATTTAGGGTGGGTAGTCTCACTTCAGTTAACCTAATCTAGGTAGCCTCTTTTTTGTTTTGTTTTTTGAGACAGGATTTTTTTGTGTAGCTTTGGAGCCTGTCCTGGAATTTGCTCTGTAAACCAGGCTGGCCTTGAACTCAAGAGATCTACCAACCTCTTCTAGAATTAAGAGAGTG